CACCTGTAGGAGACGCACAAAAAGCCTCATTTTGAAAAATATATGGGGACAAACCAAACATCTCATAGTCCAAATCCATATTGAAATATGCCGATTACCTAAAGAAAGTTTTACCAATAAATTGAGAAACTCCAAAAAAAACTAACTTCAAGCAAAGTATCTAACAATACAACAGCTATATGAGACCAAAATATAACTGTTAAACTGCATCATTTCACAACAAGTATATGAATAATACAGAACAAGAAATGTCCATGATTAATCACAAATAAACTGCATCCTGGTCACGGCACCAAAATGTAACAGGTGTGGTTTGCTCTGTCTTGTGGAAACTACAAGTTCAATGTGTGGTTCTACTTTGCGTTGTGTTTTTCCCTTTCAACTGGCATGTTTACAAGAGGGTACGCTCCAGGTATAACCTGTAAATCTGTGAGCAGAATTCTCCTCCACGCTGTTTCCCGGTTACGAGATGCAGCCTTGCGATTCAGGACATAAGACAAAATTTATATCACCATTTTATTTACACCAAAACACAAACTCCAAATGTAACAAAATATATTTCTGGGAAGTTTTAACTAAAATCTAAATTAAATTAACAATCACGATCCCCACCTAATCCCGACCTAAGATAAATCTAGAATACTACAACTGTCTCTTAACAGCGGTAGTTAGTTGGTAAAAACCACCCGTCCTTCCCACTTCCTAACAATTACCCTGTATATCTATATAAATATATCCCTAAAACTAAATACCTTTATTCCCCCCAACCACCTATACCTATGTCTACCCTCCTATTTCCTAAGTGCTTCGCCGTGAGAAGGGGGTCAACTGTTTCGTCTCGAAACAAGGACTGGTCCGTCATGGAGCAAATTCTACTTTTTCACAAAGCAACTGGGAAGCTGTTTCGTCTCAAAACAAGGGCTCACCTAACCTCGGGTGTCTCCAACTCAGACAATAAAACACCTGTCGCGCGCTCCTTATATACGCAATAGCGGGCCTGTCCCACTAAGCGAGGAGCACACCCCTACCCTTGGAATGGAACCTTCCAGTGCGTGCAGCCAATCGCTGTGCCGAAACGGCAAGCGAAACCAAACAAACCTGCGACAGCCGTAACCCGCATGTCCCCGCAAACACCAGTAAGAAAAATCCATTTAATATACCAAAATGTATGATTTATACCCCCCAGCTAAGTTACTCACGCCAACCCACTCCTTCCTAATATCTATAGCACCTATTATACTTATCCCCCGTTACAGTGCAAAACAGTTGGGTGACTTTTACCACAGGTCCTGCATTTTCTCCTCTTCATGCATCCCTTGACAGAGTGATCAAGTCCGTAACAACCAAAGCATCTGTTGTTCTCTTTCAAATAGGAACGTCTATCTGCCAGAGACTTGCTGCAAAACGCACTACAATTATCAATGTCATAAGGTTCCTTGCAGAAGTAGCAAGATATGTTTGTCTTACCATTTGAAGCACTGTTGTCAACTTTTGTAGCAAAACTCTGAGACTTGGGAACTTGTGGTTTGTTGCGTGAAGCATCATTAGCTTTGCAAGGATGATCATTGCTCACAGAAAGTGCCTGCTTACCAAAAGTTGGCTCATTTGCTGATTTAGCTGCAAAGTCTACAAAGTCTACTAGATTTCCAAATCCAACATACTGTGCTCCATTCATTCTGGCCTTGGTAACATGATCTCTCCATCTAGTCTGTAGATGCTGTGGAAACTTCTGTACAATTGACTGCATATAAGGAGCATGGTTTAATACAGACATATGAGATATGCTGCCCATCACGTGATAACACTTCATAAGAAGATAGGAAAACTGTTTAAGTCCAGAATAATCATCATTTTTCAGTGTAGGCCATGATAGCACTTTGTTCAGGTATGCTGATGATACTTTATATGGATCTCCATATTCTTTGAATAGCAAATCTTTTGCAGATTGATAGCCAGTAATCATGTCCATATATAGGCAACCAGACACAAGATCCTTAGGCTCACCTTGCAAGTGCTGGTTCAGATAGTACAACTTGTCTGCGTCAGCTCTTGCATGTGGGATGATCCGAGCATCAAAGGCCATGATGAAAGAAGCAAACTCTGTAGGGTCACCCTGGAACTTCGGTACTTCTGGCTTGGGAAGAAACATCGCGTTGACCATCTGTTTCTGAGTCTCAACAAAAAGCTGACTAGAATTAAGATCTTGATCTGGACGGTTATACCTCATGTTCCCTTGAGTTACATTGTTATGAGACCTTTGAGATGTAGGCTGAAAGTCCCTAGCATCAGGATTGAGAACTTTGCTGTTTGGTTCTTTACATGCTGAAGAATGCCTCTGAGTATGAATATCATATTTGCAAGTGTTAACACTGGCCGTTGATATGGGTACTTTAGGCTTTGTCTCATTGAGAGAAGTATTGGACATGGAACATTCTCTGCCACCGTCAATGACATTTGAAACCATATGCTTAGGGTTCGACTCACGTGATTGTAGATCAAGTGTTGCATAGTCCTGACCTTCAGCTTCAGCAAAGACTTGCTCACGGGCAGCAGACTAGGCAATGGCAATGTCCAGCCTCATTTCTTCAATGTCCATCTTGGTCTGCTGCATCATCTTCTCCATCTCCAACTTCTTATGCAACATAGTCCTCTCTGCGAGCAGACCTGCAAGCTTAGCCTTTTTCACATGTATGAGAAGATACTGACCCACTGACGCTTGTACGTGATGTGGAAGACTTAGACTTAGACTTCTAACTTTCACACGAACCTGTAGCAGATACCGACTCATTCTGAACTTCTTCTACCAAGTCCCGTTCAGTGGATTGGATCCAATGCTTGGTCAAGTCCTTGAATGCCACCATGGAATTCACCCTGATGTCTACAATCTGCTGCACACCGTGCCTCTCAGCTGGTTCTAACTCGCTGCAATAGAGCTCAGCACAGGTGAGGTACCTAAAATACAACTGGTTAAATGTATCAGAAGCAGTCTTAACTAAATGCAAATTGTCAACACTTTCCATCAACTCGTTAAGCTTATTTCTACATTTAGTAACAGCTGAAAGAGAAGTAGCAGCCTTATTTCTCAACAGATGTAAATGTTCAATTTTAGCCTTTTCAGTAAGAGTTCTTTGACGAGAAGAACGTCGAACGTCATCACTTCTGTCTTGTGAACCACCAACAGCGCCCTGGACACCATCAAAGTCATGAACATCGGATGAATAAACGTTCTCAGTGCCATTAGGAATGTCACCAGTTATGTTGTGCGATTACATCTTTCACGTTGCACAACAAAGTCAAAATATAAGCACCATACCTTGCACACGTTGAATACAGAAACGACACCACACAAGGTCGGAAGAGTGGTGTAGCAATACGGCCTCACACAGAGGACATCAAGAACATCGTTGTCATCCTCTGACTGTAAATTTTTCCAAACAAATGTAGACACAAGAATAACAATTCACCAGAACTCGCATCCACAGGGTTTTATTCTTTGATGGTAAACAATGGTACGTTATGCGTTGATGTACTTTGACAAATGTAAGATACATGTTGGACGTTGGTCGTTAGCCATAGTGTGAAAGGATAAATAGTCGAGTGGATAAGTCGACGAGTGGATGAGTGGATGAGGTTTGGAAAACTAGAATAAACAGAAACAATTTGTAATATAATTTGACTATAAAATACAATGCATTGACAAAATATCATCTAAATTCATGCTTAACAACTTTGAAAACCTTTGAAGATTATTTGAACACTTTCAGAAAATATTGCATGTAACAATAACATTATGAGGCCATGAACTTCAAAGAAAGCTATTAAACATTATATTTATACAAAATAGAATAGTAACTGTGAAATAATAAAGATGCAAGACTTACATTTGTGTTCCTGTGTGCTACATTGAGATTAACAGTCAGAGGAGACCTCTTGACAGCATGGAGGCTGCTAACACACTGAAGCATGGGGTCCCAGTACCACATGTGCTTTTTATGGTTACATGACAGGAAAGTGGTACTATGGGATATGAAACATAACAAATCTGCAAAAGTTTTATTAGAAAGCTGGGATTGAAGACATTTATAATGCATGAAATATGCAAATGAAAATTATGTGAAAATACCTGCAGGAGGGAAATGTTAACATTGTTAGAAGGCTATCTGGAGTTGCCAGAAGGACAGGGCATTGTTAGATGACTATCTGGAGTTGCAAGATGGACAGGGCACTGTTAGAAGACTGTCTGGAGTTGCCAGAAGGAAAGGGCATTGTTAGAAGGCTATCTGGAATTGCCAGAAGGACAGAGCATTGTTAGAAGACTGTCTGGAATTGCCAGAAGGACAGGGCATTGTTAGAAGACTATCTGGAGTTGCCAGGTCAGGGCATTGTTAGAAGACTATCTTGAGTTGCCAGAAGGTCAGGGCATTGTTAGAAGACTGTCTGGAGTTGCCAGAAGGACAGGGCATTGTTAGAAGGCTATATGGAGTTACCAGAAGGACAGGGCATTGTTAGAAGAATTTCTGGAGTTGCCAAAAGGACAAGGCATTGTTAGAAGGCCATATGGAGTTGCCAGAAGGACAGGGCATTGTTAGAAGACTGTCTAGAGTTCCCAGAAGGACAGGGCATTGTTAGAAGACTGTCTAGAGTTCCCAGAAGGACAGGGCATTGTTAGAAGGCTATCTGGAGTTGCAGAAGGACAGGGCAAAAAGAGATTGAAATATCCCGGTACACAATGACGATGTAACCCCTATTTGATCTTTATTCCATGCTGAATGGACAGAGGCAAGCAGTCATGGAAACAGTGTCACAGTGTCATCAGATTGATTATTAATCACATGTCGTATTTGATATTGTGTGCCACATGACAGTGGACAGTGGACATTTGGCCTTTTCAGCAGATGCATACAATCTTTTGAAGTGGTGCTTCTATGCAAACTTTAAGTACTATATAGAACTGTGAAGCCTGTTTCGACATTCAGACAATGAGGAAGATGCTCTGTCACCTGAGTCATCATCACAAGCCTCCAGTCGACTCTGGGCTAAGATGTCCACCATCTGGTCTGGAGTCAGGAAATGATTGTCTATCTCCAGCTCTGAACCTGAAACAAATTGAGAGTCAAATATTACCAAAAATTCACAAACTGCTAATAGGTGTTCGAGAACGGATGGAGACGGCACAGCACAGGTGAATGAATAAATAACTTTGTCTGTGAACGTGCTTCTCGAACACCTGGCTGTCCCTTTCTCTGCACTCCTCCCTTGTAACAAACAGTGAACTGCGTCAATATTTTAATGATAGTTTGTTAAACAACTTTATTATTTTTAGGACAAAAATTCTGCAAAAACTCACAGAGTTGGTATGATGTTTTGATTATGATAAGCGTTTCATTGAGTATGTTATGTTTATTAGTTTTCGAGTTAGACTGCAATTCATCGGTCCGCTTTTGAGCCAAACGGACTATAGTTTCAAATGTAAATTCTCTTTGATGATATATATTTCTTGTCGCTATGCAAATTAAACGTGAATATAGACTCCAAAGAAGAGACAAATTCACTTCAGCCTAGCTATTCAGACACATGATGACAAACAGACAGATAGACAGACAGACAGACAGACAGGCACAGATTCACTGTTGCCCAGCCATTCAGACATATTAATTAACACAGACAAATACAATGATGCTCATCTCTCCAGACATATGAATGAACAGACAGACAAATATACAGACCAAGCCATTCAGACACATGGCTAAAGACACATACAAACAGAGAGAGAGAGAGACAGAGAGAGAGAGAGAGAGAGAAATATACCGCAGCACATCGATTCAGACGCCTAGATAAAGAAAGAAAAAACAGACAAGTCAATGGTAGCTGATATTCAGACATATAAACAGGTAGACCATGATGACAGTAAGATATACACAGCAGACAGACAGACATCTAAGTAAGATATTCCATCTTAACAATCAGTGCACTGTCAAATATTCAAATAACTCTCAGTTAACAGAACCTTTAGCTGAACCTACCTGTCATAAGAACTGCCAAGGGAAGACCCATGCACAGTTCCACAATCTTGTCAATCAATCCTTGGTTGTACTGTACACTCGGGGTGATCAACGCAGCAGAGCCACTCCATCGCCATGGGACAGAGGCGGCAGGTCCATCCAGCAGTACATGCTGGCGTATCTTGGGAAGGTCACTTTGGCGGTTGATGTGAAGACAATCTTCAAACTCATACATCTCTCAATCAGCATTCCACAAGTCAGCACAAAGTCTGCTTTCACTTCACTTTCTATCACATCTTCAGCATTGTCAAAGTTGACAACATAAAATATAGACGGAGTACTCTCCATCTTGCTCAGAATATTTCCCACCAACTGTTCAACTTCATCAATCTGGACATCATCAAAGAAACCGAAAGCTGTTTTGACTTGGAAAATGAAACGCTGTAGACTGGTAACAGCATTCAGATCTATAAGGATGTGATGAATTGAGTCAGAGGATGGATGTTCAGATTTCATACGGTGAATGAATTCTTCAACTGTTCTGGATTTTCCAACAGACCTCATGCCAAACACTCCAATAATGCGGTACCTGCTCCACAGACCCCATAACTGTTGCAGAGAATCTTCCCTCCCAACAAACGGCTTTAAAACATCCAAGATCTTCTGTTTCCTCCATATGGAAGGATTAAATGATGATCTTACAAATGATATAATAGTTTCCTACAACTGATTCATTCCCCCCATCGGAAATAACAAGTCCTTGAACAACCTCAATTCTTGATCTCCTAAAGTGATGAATTTAAAGCAGATCTATGGAATGATATGCTGGTTTCCTATCAACTACTGACACATTCGTTTTCAGGAAGTCATTAAGTCAATAAACAATGCCAGCTCTAGGGGATAATATACTATTGTCCTATGAACAACTCTCCATTTTCATGTCCTGCACACCAATATGTGATGCCCATTTAAGGAACTTCATGAAAGTTGGTACACCATGCCACCGGGACACTTCTGCCACTGGATCTCATCTCACTCTGGATCTGTGCTGACAGATTCCACTGGTGTGGATATATTGGAATCCTCAACTCCTACCAGTCTGGAACGCTGGCGTCATGTACGTCAGTACAACGACAGTATTGGATGACCAGCTTCAGTTCTCTCACCAGTAGATCTATGCAATGACGATGCTGAAAGCCAGATTGAGAAGAAAGTCAAACAATGCAGTTGTCTTGACGAACTACTACCGGGAGCAGGGTTCCCTGTGATGTGTACTTAGCTGTGCATCGTTTTTAGCCTTCTTGTTGATCGGGCTTGCAGGTTAGGCCTGTAAAGATTATAATCTTTCATCTCTCAGCCCCATGCCTGTTAATCAGTTATTGGTTCACCAATACAATATAGCTGGTTCTGTTTAATGCAAAATCTGCTGCCCAACAAAAATTGGTACATGTATCTGCAAAATCCATTCAATACAAACATGACATAAAACTCCTTCACTCACAAAGAGTTTACGATGTCATAGGTAAAAAGAGGTCAAGTATTGGTAAGAGTTCCGCCTCTCCACTTGAAATGTATTCTATTTATTAGGATTATTTCGATTGATTAGGCTTGAGGGCTTTTTTAAAATAAAAAACATCTATTCTTAGACATAGAATGATAAAATGGGGGATGGGAGGAAATATCAGTATTTAGGCCAAAGTCATACTACAATGCAAAAACTGATACTACATTAAGGAATGCATCAGTTTACAAATGAACTTAAGATGGGGTGGATTTTCCAAAGCAAGCCAACAGTGAAAACTGTTCTTTCAAAGTGTACTGGGAAACAATGAGAGTAAACACTAAACCTCTCTTTCTAGTATTGTTACTTAAAATTGTTACTTAAACAGTGAAAAACACAGTTGTTCAAATTCTCAATCAATGTCATCACACTGACAGTCATATTGTTAAAAGTATTAAATATTCAATTAATCATTCCGGTTGTGCATGAAACCTAGGCGGTCGCGTGTTTGAGGCGCTCTCGCTACCCACGGATGGCTATGCCTAAACACTGCTGAAAAACAGGCAAATGTATATGAACTAAACCTTACAATTGGAAGGCAAAGTATTGAAGGTAAACTTTTTTTTCAATTTCAAAACCGTGCGATTAAACAATTAAAATACACACGCCACATGGGGATGTCTGACACAGTGAGAACAACACGTGCTACAGCGAACATGGAAGAAATTGTCCAAAACTCAGAAAAAAGGTTGGCTGCGCTAATTTCTAATTCCAAAACAGAACTTCAAGCTTCCATCGATTCCCTTAAAAGTGAAATTTCTTACATTAAACAAACAGTTAGTGGGGTTGAGCACGCGGTCTCGCAACATGACGACGATTTGAACTCTCTCCGTAACGAGATAGCTGAACTAAAAAAAGAAAAGTCGATTCTTGAGAAACAAGTGACTCTAAAAGATATACATGACCGGAAAAGTAATCTATTGTTTTATGGAATTCCCGGTAGAACCCCAGGAAGACGCCGAGAAATATTGAGAAAGTTCATCACTAAATCGCTTAAGTTCAGTGAGGACCGAGCCGACACTATGTATTTTAAGATCGTGCATAGGTTACCAAAATCTGAATATCAACGCCAGAATAAGCCTTCTGCCCCACCGTTGATGATTGCTACCTTCATTCATATGTCCGACAGAGACGCGATATATGGAGCCAGAAAGCTGTTGAAAGGTACTAATTCTAGTATTCAGACCGACCTACCAGCTCTCATGAAGAAGCAACGAGCAATCCTTGGACGCCATGGCTACTACTATTCGAATCGCGAAAACCTCTGGACCAGAGTAAAGGTGTTAGGCACAGAGGTCATCTTGCAAACGAGAGATCCAACAAAACCTACGTCAACTTGGAAGAAATATGATTAAACTTTGAAAATCACACAGTGACAGTCATCTAATATGAACTCCCAAGTCATGATGTAAACAAAGTTGACAGAAATGTTCTTTCCTACAACTTCTATTGACGATATGAACCACTTGCACTCTAATATATAGTCATATACGATTTCCGTAAAATATTTTAGCGCCAAATAGAGCGTTTTGCGTTGATAAGATATTTTATTTTTTGTTTGACCTAAGTAATTGTTACATTTCTTGATTTTGAGTTTCAAACGTTTGAATTTCTTACAAATATAAATAGTTGGACTACAGGTATCTGCTACATGTGGACTTCGTGCAGATTTCACCGGCCTGGTATGAACACGTGGTCGGTCTTCTGTTCATTTGGGATGACTCTGTTTGCGACTGTTTTTTGTGTTGCTTTTTCATATATGGATTAATATGGATTAACTTCATGCAATATAAATGTAAGTATCATATTTAAGCACATTTTAAGTATACAATTGACGTTAAAGCTGTCATCAGTGGGTACTCCGACACGAGTACACTTCCACTCCGCCAAAGGAATATGGCATTTTATTTTACTGAAATTTTCTTGTTGCATATTTTTCTACTCTTCATTACATTTCAACATGACATTACCAGTAACAAAATGAAATTTGTTCTGTCAGATAACATTGTGTAAAACTTTGCTGCATCGCCAACTTTATGTTCCAATTTAACATATTATTATGGATACGATAAAAGTTACATCGTTAAACTGTAGAGGCTTAAATGACAAAGTTAAACGTAAGGAAATGTTCAGATTTTTAAAAAAGAAACGTTCTTCAATCTACTGTTTGCAGGATGTACATTTCACTGAAGACATGGAAAAACAGGTCACAGAAAAGTCAGAATTGTTATTTTAGTTCTCATAAAGGCAATTCTAGAGGCGTAGCTATTTTATTTTCAAAACGACTAGACTATAAAATTGATAATGTGAAGAAAGATAATGAAGGCAACATTGTTGCCATAGAGATTACAATAGATAAATACAAACTAACTATAATCAATATATATGGTCCAAACGCTGACAGTCCAAACTTCTTCGATAAACTGGACACAATGATACATTCACTGAAAAGTGATCATGTACTTGTATGTGGAGACTGGAATGTAGTTCAAGATTATTCCATTGATACATATAACTACAAACATCATAATAATCCAAAGTCGAGAGAGAGAATACTAAAATTAAAAGACGAAATTGATCTTGTAGATCCATGGAGAGAAAGATTTCCTCATGAAAAAATATATACATGGCGGCAACCAACTCCACTGAAACAGGCTAGCCTTGACTATTTCTTGGTTTCTCACAACATGATTCCCTCCATAACAGATACGTCAATAGAGGCTAGTTTTAAATCGGATCACTCTCCTATATCAATTACCTTTACTCTAAATGAAATAGACCGTGGAAAAGGATTTTGGAAATTTAATAACTCCCTTTTGAGAGATCAAAAATATGTCACAATGGTTAAACGAATAATCTCAGAAACGTGTTCACAATATGAAAACATAGATACGAATGAAAATGAATTTACTATTGACGATCAGTTGTTCTTTGAAACATTATTGCTATTGATACAAGGAGAAACAATTAAATACTCATCATATAAGAAAAGAGAAAGACAGAAAGAGGAAAATAGTGTGACGAAACAATTAGAAGAAATTACAGGTAAAATGGACCAAACAAGCGATCATGAAATTAAAACTGAATTAATGAAAGAACTTGATACTTTAAGTCACAGGTTGGAAGAAATAAATACGATAAAAACGTCTGGTATTATGATAAGATCTAAAGCGATATGGTTTGAACAGGGGGGAAAAACCTTCTAAATATTTTCTTGGATTGGAATCACGAAACTTCTTCAATAAGTCAATTACTCGTTTAGAAAATGATAAACGAGATATTTTATCCAGCCGACATGAAATAGAAGATGAAGTAAAAAACTTCTACTCCAAATTATATAGAAAACAGGATATTAGCGATGTTAATCTCGACAATCTACTCAGAGTGCAACTACATCATCAGCACTAGAAGGTGAATTGGAGTATCAAGAAGTACTTTCGGCTTTAAAATGTTTGAAAAATGATAAAAGTCCAGGACCAGATGGTTTTAACGCAGAGTTCTTGAAATTCTTTTGGATTGATTTGGGCAAATATTTAATCAAATCGTTGAACTTATCTTATAAAAAGGGAGAACTTTCTATATCTCTTAAAAGGGGACTCATCACATGCATTCCAAAAAGCAATAAATCAAAAATATATTTAAGAATTGGCGACCAATTTCTTTGTTATCAATTTTCTATAAAGTTGCGTCTCTCACAATTTCCAGACGGATAAAAACAGTTCTTAAAGGTCACATGCAACCAAAAAATCAAACATAATTAAAACACAATTATCACTTCTTCATGACATATAATATGCATTGCTGATTATGAAAAAACAAAAGAACAAAATTATAAGCGAATAATCGCAAATCAAAAGTGCAATATTTTGTACTTGGGTTTACCTCCCTCGAAACGAAGCAGCCGGGATACCGAACCCAGTCAGAGCGAATGGTTGTGCACTCAAGTGTAACGGCTGGTTCATTAGCAGATGACGCCTTCATGGGTCATTGTGTGTGTATATATAGAGATGTTGGGTTTTGTAAATACATGCTCATTTTTTGTGTATAACATTTTGCAATCAACAGACATCATAACATGTCATGTGTTCAAGTATCACACCTGCCTGTCTGTGTAATTACATAATGTGACAGAGACCCGAACTCGGGCCATAAATCAATGCGTTTTGTTTATGGTGTATAGCCTGATTGGTGTTAAGTTCAAATTGCATGTGGTCAGTGATGCGCAGTTGTGTATTGAATATTGTCATTAGCAGACAGGCAGGCAGACACACAGGTGTCAATAAAACAAGACATTGAGTTTTGTCTGTGACAATGACATATCTATATCACAGTTAGAAATTGTGTCAACGCTAAATAATGACATTGCTTTTAAGTATCGAACTGAGAAAGTGTCTCGGTAAGAAGAACGTGTGGTGAAATAGACAAATGAAATTATATAAACAGTTAATTTACTGTCATAACATATAAAAGCTCGCAGCCTGTGAGATATCAACAAAACATTAGAAAAATAGCTCACACCAAAGCTTTCACCGAGTATTCACCGGACAACCCGCTTCCAAGCTGCGCGAACCTATTTCACTGCGCACATGCTATGAGCGCAGCCCAGCTGTTGAAACCACTTTTCCCCAGAAAAGTCGGGGGAAAATTAGTGAAACGTTTGAACTCCGATTTCGCGTTTTTTTTCATCGCGTTATTTTTCAACTTTATAAGTTGAATTTGCATTTTTGACGATTTGTTTCGAAAGGTATCAGAATCTGCAAAGTTGTGTTTTACGTTGCATGTGACCTTTAATATACTGATCAATGAAGACCAGAGAGGTTTTATGTCTGGTAGGTATATTGGGGAAATTACTAGAATGATATATGACCTTATGGAATATACAGAAACGCATCAAATACCTGGTCTACTTTTACTTATAGATTTCGAAAAAGTATTTGACACTGTGGATTGGGCATTTATAGATAAAACGTTGTCATTTTTCAATTTTGGAACTTCTATTAGAAAATGGTTTAAAACTTTGTATGGAGGAATCGAATAAAATGTTTTAGTCAATGGATATGGATCCGCTATGTTTAATATATCTAGAGGATGTCGCCAAGGCGACCCTCTCTCGCCATATATATTTATTCTATGTGCGGAAATACTTGCCATATTGATAAGAAATAATAAAAATATCAAAGGTATAAATATTGGTAATATAGAACATTTACTTCATCAGTTTGCTGATGACACAACCTGTACCTTAGATGGTTCTGGACATTGCCTTTTTGCAGTTTTAAATGTATTGGATATCTTTGCAAGATTCTCAGGACTAAAAATTAATATCGAAAAAACAAGGCTTATATGGATAGGATCAAAAAGCTTCGAGAATGAAACTTTGTCCTCAAAAGAATCTAAACTGGGACCAAACGTCCTTTAACCTACTTGGTATAACATTTAAGCTAGATACTGGACGATATAGTCGAAGAGAATTACAAAGAAAAACTTAGAGCATGTGAAACACTAATGTATATCTGGTCCGCCCGTAACCTTACTCCACTCGGTAGAAATGTAGTTCTAAAATCACTAATTATTCCAAAACTAAATCACCTCTTTGGCTCTATTCCTAATCCAAGAGATGATGTTATAAACGCATTTCAACAAAAATGTTACAGATTTATTTGGAACATTAAACCTGATAAGATAAAAAGAAAACAGATAATGAGTGATAAAAAAGATGGAAGATTTAATATGCCCAACATAAAAGGTATTATACAATCGCAAAAATTGTCCATGCTAAGACGCTTTCTTTCACACTCTGCTTAATGGTGTAATCTTTTATTTTGAATCTCCCAAAGATAGGTTATGGTAATATATTTGAGTATAGTTGTCAACATTTGAGAGATAAAATACTTCCTTTTATAAGAAATAATTACTACAAAGATGTCGTTTCAGCGTGGTGGGACTTTACATCTCAACTTGAATTAAACTCTGAAAAAGATAGTGATAATGAAATCCTTACTGAAAGTATATGGTATAATAAAAATATTATGGTAGAATCAAAACGGTTTACTACAAAGAATGGTATGAGCACGGGGTTCGCTGGATTAATGACTTGATTGATAATAATGGTAATTTCTTTCAATTTGAAACGTTTCTAAAAAAAATTGACATAAAAACAAATTTTCTGAAATATCATGGTCTTATTTGCTCCATTAAACAATATCTTCAAAAGATTAAAACAGATTTAAAAACAATAACACGCAAACCAAACCCTGTTCTACCCCAATATATGCAACATCTCTGTAAGAATGTAAAAGGGACGCAATACTTGTACAAAACTCTAATTTCAGGTCTAGGTTTAAAAAACCAACATGCATCGAAATGGGAACTAAACATTTTATACGACGACATTATATCTAATGATTGGCCACTTTACAATACTATTCCCTTTAGATGTACGAAAGGTACTAGACTACAATGGTTCCAATACAGACTTTTACACCATATCTTGCCAACAAACATTTTTTTAGAAAAGATAGGATATAAAGACACTAGTAATTGTAGTTTTTGCTCCGAAGATATAGAAACAACTATCCACTTATTCTGGTCTTGCAGCAAGGTAAACCATATATGGAAAAAACTTGAGAACTGGCTACATGCTAAAGCACAAATAAAACTCAAAATTGAAAAGAAACATGTAATGCTTGGTTACCCAAATAAAAACAATGATCCAATAAATATCATCTTAATTCTCTTCAAGGAACTAATTTTTCAAAATAAGTTTAACAACATTATGCCATCTTTCCAAGTTTTTCAACATAAACTGTTTGAATATTATATGTTAACAAAGTGTTCATCAATAATTAGTTGTAATATCAATGCTTTCTACACGTTCTGGTCATCATGCCATGATTTATTCTGCTAAAACTATTTGATTTTTCATCATGTATACTGGAATAACACTGTTATTTGTTTGTATAAAAAGTTGAAAAATGCAACAAAATAAAAAACTATTAAAAAAAATTAATCACCCTAATGGAAGTGAGATACTGTTATTTTTCTTTAATCGGAAAATGGGGTTTACCATTAAAAAAAGAAGTTAATGTATAGCCAATACAAAGTTATTTAACACAAAATGTTTACTCACGTCTTGGCCCTAACATTCCCCGAATGTGCAGTGGTGATGATGAAAGTGCATATATATCTGCTGCATCACGGCTCTCTGAGAGACTTCGTTTCCAAGAAATAGTCTTCACAACTGAAAGTACAAACACTTACATAAATTCAGGAAGTAGGTCACCTTGTGTCATCACCTCCATCCATGACATGTACAAAGTTACCATTTTGCTTCTGTAACATTAAATTAAGCTGTCAATTTTCTAGCTAAATTTTATTAATACTTATTTGACTGCTGTCTTACCTGTCCAAACCCTTCTCGAGACTTCGTGTGGCAACAAAAGATATATGGAGAGTTACTTCCCTTTGTACTGACTGGGCGATAAAAGCTCTCGTAAAAGGTTCTTGAAAAAAATAAACACACTGACAGGGGAGATAACTACTACACAAAATCATGCGTAATTTTGGGATTTCCCAATTCATTTTCCCAGTCGCAAGCTTTTCCGAAGATAGCTTGGTCACAAGGTCGATGTCTGTCTGTTTGAATAACATATTGATCTAAGTTTGTAATTGATATGTTATTTATGTTTACTTACCCACAAATGTTAGGCCTGCAGTAATGTCACCGCCGAAGGTACGTTCACAGATGTTACAGACATCAATCAACTGGTAGGAACAAGTGGCTGGTTTGGGAATTTGAAAGTCTGCGTACTGAGAATCTCAGTGAGATATTGTCAAACCAGGAGGTAAGCTTGTTTTTCACCTAATATCTTGCTTGACCTAAAGAATTAAGCGTTTGTTGTTATTTTTCAACCCAACTTTACCAGAACTGTTTAATCATGGACCATGACTGGTAGTTTATATGCGACAATAACATTCAAATCAACGCTGTAATTATTGTTGTTCAAGTTCATTATTTCTGAAAAGGTACTGTCAGACATTACCTCTAAATTCACATTTCTTTTGACATAAATGATCATGATGAAATATAGATAGATCACTCCAACAGGGACATGTCATGGTGACCTGCTTAGGTCAACAATATCAAAGTGACATTCTTTCCTTTTTCAAAGTACAGTCAGGGACGATACTAAACATGCTAAAAGACTAAGACGTCTAACTGTTACCATGGTTACAGAGGTAGTTATGAGATTAACTGATCATGTTGAGATTTGATGTGTTGATGCTTGCTTCTCATACGAAGAATTGTTGTTAACCTAGAAACCCCCGGTATCTGGGCACTGTAAGCTAAACCTGTTTAAATATGTAGAAGGTAACTACCATTATACCCAGACGTTTGTTATTCATACAGAAAAGTCCTGTTACCATTGGTTACACCAGAAAACCCCTCATCAGGGCAGTTACTGTTGGGTTAATGACTATGAAAGTTAGAAGAATGATGACAATTCTTATGGATATACAACTTCTTTTATTCTGTGAGGGGCGAGTCGCGACATAGATTCTAATGTCATTGTCAAGCAAGTGAAAGTTGGATATTAATAAAATAAAAGTTGATAATCCAAATAAGAAATTGATAATCCAAATAATATCACTGAAAGTGGCATTGTCCAGATTAATAAGGGTTTATGTGTATGTAAATCAACTGGTCACTACAAGCACAACATGCAGGAATGGGTTGATACTGGCCATCAAATAACCTGCAGTCCACTGTCCAGAGTTGCTTCCCTTACATCTACCAGGATCAGAAGATCATGTGTCAGAATTGTAGATCTATATGTTAGAATTATGTTTAGGCTTATCATCACCATACCTGTAATAGTGGGTTTCATCAAACAGATGAAGGTCTATGAATTTCTTTATTCAGCTGACATAACTTAATTAAGCAGTGTTGAAGGACCGTAGGCAGCATCAGACCAAACTTTCTTGCTTCTCATTCCTTCTTGCTTCATGTCTTTGCTGTTCAGTGTTGAACCAGGGTTTTACATTTTATGAAAGTGGAGGTCAAAGGGATCCCAAATAATTAATTTCACTGGTCCTTGCAGGTATAACGAGGGTTCTATGATGAGGACATTTTGGAAATCGCTTGAAAGAGTAGAATGTATGAATCTTTTCATGTGGACAGTGATCATGTTTGATGGATGAAGTTACGCGTGTAACTCTTAGGAAAAACGACAACTATCATGATATTTTTCTGATTTCATAATCTTTATTGTTTTATTCCCCACAGTGGCTAACACCACTTTGATTCTGACTCGTGTACGACTTTGTGACATGACCACTCTGTTAACACTTACTGATAGTTTCACATGCAGCCTTTCTTTAGCATTAGCAAACTACTTTGCCCTTTATGTGTAGTGGTCATTATCATGTCTGTTCTGAGAGGATTTGGTCTGTAACAATGTGTCTAATAGGCAGGTCCCAAAACATCAGACTGTGGGTTCAAATCTTGTTTGCTTTCCTCCAACACCAACCAGACACACTGTGATATAACCGAGTTATGTTTACTGAAATACATGTAGCTGGAAAAAATTATTAGAATAACAACAGTTAAGCTTCAGTACATAATACCTGTGACCTGTGAAGGTCAAGATGAGAATTTGTCTTCAGCAGCCCATGTTTGTCATAATATTGAGAAGCGATTAAGCTTGTGGTAGGCAACTAACAGGATTGGGTGACCTGGTAATCCCAATTGTGTAGATCGATGCTCATGATGTCAGTCACTGGATTGTCTGGTCCTGACTTGCATATATACAGACCGTCAACTCAAATATCCCAAAGACCTAATAACTTTTGTTTTTCTTTTATAGCTACAATGGATAGCGGAGAGATGGAGGCCGAACACAAGTTTATAGGCAGGGAAAAACTGTCTGAGGACCTTGTTAGCCAGGTCGTGTCAAAGAAGACACGTGTGATCTGTTTAGACGGAGAACCGGGCATTGGTGTGTCAAGATTTGCCGAGTTCTGCTTGAGAAGGGTTGAGGAACATCAGCAACACACATGCTTCTTTATTGACTGTCAGAAAGTTCCAGGAAAAACAAAAGAAGAAGTTGAGGAAAACTTTAAGACATGTTTTGAAGAAGATGTTATCCAAAAGACTGTAACAAAGTCATCAACTATTTTTGACAGCAGTAATCGGCAGGAAATGATAGATGATCTGGTGAAGAAGTTTGCAGCATTTCTTCATGGAAATCAAGAATCTCATGTGAATCTCCTGTTGGACAATATTGATCGGAACAGCAAGGGTATCGTACAGTCGTTTGTGATCAATGCACTTAAGTCATTCAAAAGAAGAATCACAAATGTAACTTTTATTCTAACTTCTCGGATGAAGCTCTCTTTTTCACAATTTAAAATGGAATCAGTGAAAATCCAGCCTTTCACCAAAGATGAAGTGAGGAAATTCTTTCTTGACAACTTTGACTTTTCATTCCGAGAAGATGTATTCAGGATTGTTCATGACTGGTGTGGTGGGAACGTGACTGTCTTGTGTTTAGTAGGTAAGCTCCATTGGCCGTATCTATCTACTGTAGGCCAGAGATTATTTTTGTGGCTGATGTAACATACATAGATTTGAGGAGGAAACAGCTAGTCCTTTATGTTTCTATTGGTCTCCATCTAATGGTCTATGGCTGGTCTATGGCCGGTCTGTGTGCTGGAAGGATCCATCCCCACTGTACCGGAGGGTCACATGGAGCTCATGCTGTATATGTATGTCACGTTTGATGTCATGTGATTGTCTCAACCAGCCAATGAAATGGCCACTAGGGTTTCAAAATAATTTTTTTTTATGTCATCGCTTATTTAACACATATGGATAATATTTTTCAATATGGTATGCAGACAGTACTTTTTAGCTTTTAGTTCACCTGAATGAAACTTTCGTGAGTTTATACCATTGACTGGTTGTGTTCCCAGGGTTTTGCGCGACACACAATTGTGCGTCCTGTTCGCACAGATGTTGGCTATAGATCCAGAAAACAATTCACTGTGTTAAGATTGACACACAATATTATTCATTGTACCCACAACACATCTGTGACTTTGCTGAGTGTTTGGTTGTTTCTTTCAGAGCAGTTACATGCATCATTTCATCCATCAGTCCACATGGTCAATGGTTCATTCCAGGCTCTTATGAAATTATCAAAACATTCACTTTTCCATGCTGTTACCCTCATTTTGTCTGTAAAGCCCCCTTGGACCGCCATGTTTGTGAGTCGAGCTAAAACACTGTGTTCCCATTAATTGAAATTATCAATAATTGGTCGAACAGGCAATCAATTGCGTTTTCTTGTAGTCGAGCACAAATGATTTGGAAACAGTCATTTGCATAAATAATATTTGTACTAAAGGTTGTTTTTGTTTGTGTGATTACATATACATTTCATAAGCACTACCTGCTCATCTAGCTGCTAAAGTAGTTCAACTCATTGTTTGATAGTCACCCCAGCATTACTGAGCAACAAAATAGGATAGGTATTCAATTCTGCATTACAGATTTTCTGGAAAAGTTGTGTGCCTAGCTGTCAAACTTATTTTCTGCTTATAAGTAAAGATTACTAACTGACATGGCAATACAAGTAGGATAGCAGGATCAGATAGTTTTATATGTTAAATCTCTGTGTAACATAACAAGGTATGGTATGGATTTACAACTTCTTTATTATTTACAACACAACGTTTCTGGGTGACTTCTTACCCCTTTATCAGGTGAATGACAGCATGTGATTTACAGGCAAAATATATAGTACAGGAGGCCACTGTCAGAGATGGAAGTAAAGATTGAAATGTACAGAGATCAAGGAGATTAAGTGATATGTTTTGATTGAGACGTAACAGAGTTGATTAAGTGGTATATTATGCAATAGATTTGTATTGGCATGTACAGACTATTTATACAGATGACTGTGGCCTCCTTTCAGTAAAACCATCCTACTGTGATTGCTGCGTGTACCACTCAACACGCAGGTGTAAGTACTTGTATTTTTCCAAATTGAAATTCTATTCTATTCTAAGTTTTAAACTCTCTATATGCCAAAGCATTTAGTTTGAAATCAACAGCTAAAAAGGATACAGTAAGCAATTGTATTCTGAAATTGGTTTAACAAGGGATACAAATTACTGTAGAGTAATTATGTTGGAAGTACTCGATAGAGTGGCAGTAAAACATGGGGAGATAGGTAGTGTTGGGAATTGGTTGAAATCTCATAATTGATGATTGGTTCATTACAACCGATCAGTCATCGAAAATAATTGGTTAGCGTCATTTATGAAATTTGTTAATGCACAAACAAATAAGGAAAAAAACCTGTAGTTCTTTTGGGTTTTTTTGGCAAAACTTCACATCTTTAAAATATGACTAGTATGTTAGGAACATAAATTTCTTGGAGTCTTTAGGATAAATTCAATCATGACTTGGAATGAGCTTGTAGTGCTTATGAAATGTAACAGACAAAACCAACCTTGTGAAAAATACTGTTAATGAAAACAAGTATTCCAGAATTGTTTGTGTTCGATTATCAGAAAACATGATCGATTGCTTGGTCGTTTAGTCACTGCGACCAATCTTCGATTATTTCAATTATTCGGACAACCACTAGAGATAGGGGGGTCATCAACTTTGTACACATGTGCTTTGGGGTGGGGGGTGGGTGTGTGATTCACATTGTGCATGCTTCTCCATAAAAATCATCACCACCACCCCTAGCCATCAATTAAGAACAGTCCCTTACTTATTCAAGGTCTCTGTGATATTGGGATTCGAACCCACACCCTATGAGTTTAGGCACCTAATTGCCAGCACACAAAGTCTGCCACCTAACCCGCTCAGTCACCGCGGCTTTCACTCCAGAGGGTGTGGCTTCTCCGAATCTCGGATGGGACTCAACCCAACAAAAGTACTAGAATCTGTGCTTTACTGAGAAAATGTAATCCCAAATATGTCATATGTTACATTTGACCACTTGCTTTATGGCACTGTGTATTCATAAATGTGATAGACTCACAATTAATTTCAATGAAATTTTTTTTGTTGTTTTGATTGGCACAGGTCGGGAACTGAGAGATCTTGAAGACATGTCCTTTGACCAGGAGGACTTGTCAGCTGTTATTGTCCAAGGGTCATCACAAGATGCTTTACGCCTCGTCAACAGCGAAAGCTTGGCAGATGAGGAGAAATGGAGTAAGTGGGTTGGCCGACAAGCTGCTCTCACAGATTTAATAAAATACACAGACTCCTTGTATAGCGCTGGGCAAAAGAATGGATCAGGTCATCGGCCTGCTTGACCTTGTTCATTACTTGTCATCCCTGTTCAAGTGCTCATACTGCCCACCAATGGACTGACCAGTCCAGAAGCAATTATTTACAGAACACCAGCAGGTTACTGACTGAACAATAAACAACAACATACATATAATTTGGCCACAATGGTATCAAATTTCTTTCCAAAATTTGGAGGATTATCACATCTGCAGGTTTTCTGTGCAACAACACTGGTGAATAAATAACATCTGTTATCATACTGTCATGGCCCAGAATCTACGATCACACTGCCTGACACACTGACCACACTGGTGAATAAATAACATCTGTTATCATACTGTCATGGCCCAGAATCTACGATCACACTGCCTGACACACTGACCACACTGGTGAATAAATAACATCTGTTATCATACTGTCATGGCCCAGAATCTACGATCACACTGCCTGACACACTGACCACACTGGTGAATAAATAACATCTGTTATCATACTGTCATGGCCCAGAATCTACGATCACACTGCCTGACACACTGACCACACTGGTGAATAAATAACATCTGTTATCATACTGTCATGGCCCAGAATCTACGATCACACTGCCTGACACACTGACCACACTGGTGAATAAATAACATCTGTTATCATACTGTCATGGCCCAGAATCTACGATCACACTGCCTGACACACTGCCTGACACACTGCCTGACACACTGACCACACTGGTGACATCTGTTGATACACTGACCACACTGGTGAATAAATAACATCTGTTATCATACTGTCATGGCCAAGAATCTACGATCACACTGCCTGACACACTGCCTGACACACTGCCTGACACACTGACCACACTGAGCATGCTTGGCAGTAACTACTGTCTATTGCTGGAGTCTATGCTGTTACAGTCCTAACTTTGTATTGATGAATTTGGCTTGCGTACTGGTATTCAGTTAATCTGCTATATGACATATTTTGAAATGTACATTTTCTTTAGTTCTTTGGATTCTTGTTTCAGGCCAAATCTTTGCTCGATTCTTTGAACAGCTGGCTAGAAGAGCACAAGATCATTTGCAGAAAGTTGCATATTTTGCCAGTGACTTCACAGCAGAGGATTTGAACAAAAGTAAGCAACCCAGTTTGTGTGAGTGGGTAGGTGAACAAGTGATTGAGTGAGGAGTTTGATTAGGGAAGATAAGTAAATGACTGAGTGAGTGACTGAATGTTTTACAAAGCTGACATCTGATTGGCTAAAATATCCATGAATCCATTGTTAAAATTAGGAGGGTTTGTTTATTCAGGTTCAGGATATTTTATTCTGATTACTGTGAAACTGTTCAGATGTGAAAATTTGCTGATTTGTTGAATTTACTAGGTGACGTATTTGGAGCAACACAGTGAAAAACAGCATCACCGTATGAGGTTTATGGTTGTATGTGTTGTCAACATGCCCTTTGTTTATTTCAGTGCGTCCAAATGAGTCTGTAGCTCTGACAAAACACCGTGTTCTTGTTGAGCTTATGAGGACAAATGCTATTCGTCACAATCGGACTGACAAAACCTTCAAGGTTGATCAACTGACTAAACAGTGGCTGGCCACCCAGGAAAAAGGTTGAGTAGAAAACACTTGTCAACCTTTGTTTGTCATCCCATTGTATAATAACATTGTCCTCAGGCTGACCAGCCTACACCCATGAAGATCCGGGCTAGAATTGATCTTCAGAAACCCATGCTTGTCGTAAGAGGCGACTAAAGGGATCGGGTGGTCAGGCTCGCTGACTTGGTTGACTCATGTCATCAATTTTAGAAGTGTCTAGATCGATGCTCATGCTGTTGATCACTGGATTGTTTGGTCCAGACTCGATTATTTACAGACCGCAGCCATATAGCTGGAATATTGCTGTGGCGTAAAACTAAACTCACTTACTCACTCACTCACTGAAGAGTCTACATGATCCATTGGTGTAGTTGAGTGTCATCACGTAGGTATCTTATCACGCTTGGAATCATTATAATGTCTGTGTGGTGTACCCACGGTAAACTAGAGACTGGTCTCTCATTGGACTAGCATAATTAAACCAGAATACGTCTGAACTTGTTGTCAACAGACACACACGTTATACATACATCACTAAATAGTCCTAATCCTGGTGTCAACACGTTAGTCATCAGGAAACAGGGCCTTGTGTACACTGTAGTAATTTAAAATAATGGATGAAAATTGGTTAGTTATTTAGTTAGTTAATAGTCAGGCGTTCATTTTATTTGTTGTGTATAATTTGATTTCAGGTGTCAGTTAATATGTTTTTGACAAAGTAACATTTATTTTTTAATCTGCTTACATGATTACTGCATGATACATGTATCGGCAAACACCATGGATTGGGAGATGTAGTGATTGGTCAAACTATGGCCAGTGATTGGAACTCATGGATAGCCAGTAAACACACCAATGATTCACCATTATGAGTAGTGGCTATAAACATAACAAAACAAAGCATTACTGCTGAAAATTTACAAATTTTTCCTTATCCTGACTCATGCTTAATTGCTTGTCTTCTTCTTCTTGCAAACTATAGTGGAACACTTGAATCCCCTTTTGAAGCTCCCTTCAAAAAAGTGGACATAAAATCACCTACCCCAGTAGTCTCCCTTTCCCCCATCTTTTGACGCCAAAAGTTGGTCACATGATCGGCCATGCTTGTTACTCTCTCCTTCTTCGCTCTAGTGGATGGTTGTGAGAGCGCCTGGGTCCCCTATACGGCATTTATCCTTTGAATTTTAGGCTTTTATACTAAATTAGGCTGTATAAGGGCTTTAGCAAGGATTTACCAGCAATATGGTTTGAAATTTATTCTAAATTTGTCCGTTTTTCACGTTGTTGACTACATAAACATGTGGTCAACAACGTGAAAAACGTACAAATTTAGCTTGTTTACATTTCATGAAGACTTGCATTTCTTGCAGGTTTCGTTGTCAGCTGCTGATCCGCATTCTTTATGTCCTAACTGCACTTCTATATGTTCTTCCAGCCTCCGCTGTAAACTTTGTCAACATTTATCTCAAATTGAATTTTGTAATTATTTATTTATATTCTGTTCATAGACGTGCCAAGGACAAGTTGAGGCGACAATTACAAGTCATGTCTCAACAGGGTGAATGCGTTAATAATCGTGGGTTGTTGTCTGTCGAGGTACATCATTCCAGTGAGCTGCTGGTGGCATCTTCAGAGCAGAGGAATGAGGTTTCCGGAAAAGATCGTCATCGACTCAACAATCCTCGTCGCAGTCCAAGAAGACTAGGACGTCGTCTGCTGTGAAGACTAAGCCGTCTTCAGACAAGTCTACAGTCAAGTCGTCAGTGGGGGCAGCGAAGAAGTCGAGGTCCTTCGCCGCAGATATCAACCCATCGGACGAAGCAGACGTTTACGATGAGCTGCCGATCCTCATCCCTGAAGTACCGGTGAGGAAGAAGACGATATCTTCCTCTATACTGACGTCTGCAACTATATCAATGCAATCAGACGTCCTATCTACGCAGACTGCAGATACCAGAGAGGACAGGCAGTCCTTAGATGACACCTCAGCACTGTCAGATGCGGCGTCATCTGTACAACAGCACCAGTTATCAGCGCAGACCTTCAACCCGGGCATCTTTATGCAGCAGTTTACCAAGCAGATGATGGACCTGATGGAACGGAGGTTCGCTCAGGAGAAGACTGCCGAGAAGCAGACGAATCTGCAAGGGGGACGTACATCATCTACACCTCATCCGGATGAAGGAAGCAGTGTTCATGAAGACAGCAACACTCGTGACGGCACTCGCGAAGGCATTCGCGGAAGAACCACTTGTGAAGACACTCATGGAGACAACAGCCGAGACAGCACCTGCGAAGGCATTCGCGAAGGAAGCAACAATTATGAAGAGGCTCCTGCAATAGAGACAATCATCGGAGGACTGCGCGAACGCCACGTAGAAGAGAATATACACCTTCACGAAGGCATACAGCTCACAGAGACAGATCACCTTCGGGCAGGTCTTCGGGGAGGGCTTCATGGTCGTCGCCATGCAGATACAGATCACCTACCACATCTCCAGCAAGGCACTCGCGAGTGCCCCTCGCGCAGGCTTACAGATAGATCTCCACCTAGAGATCAGGACCAACGGCAACAATCTTCAGAACGAGACACATCGAAACCTGAAGATGATGGGGGAATCATTTTCTCCGACACAGAGATTAAATCCTGGATGGCTAATGGTTTAGAGCTTGCATCACCATCTAAAGAGAATAATGAAGCATACACATACATGATGTCTAACGACGATTTTGACACGCTGACGCTGCCACCCATAGAACCTGTACTGGACGTCCCAGACAACCTCAGCTCAGCCTTCAAGAAGGCAACGAAGTATCAAAGTCAAAGCATTCCACCTTTTAATGCCAAGAGCTTTTCACTACACCACATGGAACCATTCATGAAGGCCCCAGAAGTAGATGAAAACTATAAACTCATCAATGACGCTCACATCAGGACTTATAAAGTGGAGGACAAGAAGCTAGCGCAACTAGACACAACTGCTAGACGTACCTTCTTTGGTTTAACCAGATCAAGAGCCATCAACGAAACCCTAATTGCGAAGTTTGCAAACTCAACATCTGAAGAAGATCGGATGATCTACTCAGCTTTACTGACCCAAAGGAAAGACCAACAGTTCATGTCAGAACATTTAGCGTCTACATCGGCGGGATTAACGCTGCTAAGAAAGCAAGGTCTACTATCATCTTGTAAATGGAGTGAGAAGTTTACCAAACCACTATTCAGAGCTCCATGGGCAGCAACGAATATCTTCGCAGGAGAAATTGAGGACGTGGCAAAAGAAGTTACGAAGGAGTCCAGAGAAGTGATGATGATCAAGTCCATCGATACGCTGGCCAGCGTTATCAGACAGACATCGCAGGGCTACTCTGGCATATCTAAATTTGCAGGAATTCAGAGAGCTAGAGACAAGAAATATGGCACTTCCAAGGGATATAAGGATTCTTTTCCTCGCCCCACCGGAGCTCCTAGAGGTAACCCCGGAAGAGGCAGAGGATTCAGAGGTGCCAGGAACTTTAGACGTTGATGGACAGGGTCGGAACGACTGGAGTCTTCCACCCCCAACCATTCCCGTACAACCCTCACCAGTGGGTGGACGCCTACAACTTTACTGGAAGAATAGGGGAATTCTACAAGACGATTATGTATCTCAGATACAACACAGAGGATACAAGATAGAACTGCAAGCGGTTCCACCTTTAACAAGCACTCCTCAGATGTACAACTATGCTACCGATCAGGAGAAATTACTCGATGCCATTACAACTCTACTTGACAAGAAGGCAGTGGAAGAAATAAAAATCGTCACACCCGGTTTCTACTCCCCAATTTTTCTGGTTCCAAAGAAAAATTCAAAGGAAAAGTTCTGACTGATTTACAACATGAAAAAATTCAACCAGGATTATCTAAGAAAGCCCGCAAGATTCAAAATGGTACATCTTCCACAACTCAGACAGATTATCCGTCCGTCAGATTATCTAGCCAGCATAGATCTACAGGATGCGTATCTTCACATCCCAATACATTAGGACTCAAGGAGATACCTACGATTCCTATTCAACGGACGTCACTACCAGTGGAAGGTACTACCGTTTGGAATATCGTCGGCCCCCTGGTTGTTTACTCGAGTGACAAAGCCCATCGTCAGTTACCTACATCATCAAGGTCTACGCAGTGCGTTTTACCTAGATGACGGGATTCAAGCTCATCAAGATCCCAATCTACTCAGACGGCAACTGACGTTTACAATCAAACTACTCACTCAACTAGGATGGCTAGTAAATCATCTCAAATCGGAATTGGAGCCTACACAAGATCTACAATTCCTAGGAATACGAATCGTCACTTCAACGAATCGACTACTAGTACCGGAGGACCGTTGGATCAAGATACAACAGATGATATCACAAACACTACTCTCTCCGTTACCACTACGAGAGTGGCAGAGTCTACTCTGTCTCCTCATGTCAGCACAAGACATGACACGCAGAGGCAGATTACTTTTGTGCCCACTACAAGTATTTGTGAACGATCATCTAGACAGTCTGGATCCATTCATGCTACCGAACGAACTGAAACCATACCTGTTATGGTGGACACGGAAGTCGAATGTCTGCGCAGGAACCTACTTAGCAGAGCCGGAATCCAACATTCATCTTTACGCAGATGCGTCCCTTCAAGGATGGGGAGCTCACTTAAACAACAAAGTGGCATTGGGGAAGTGGTTGAATCAGGAACAAAAACTACACATCAACATGCTAGAGTTGAAAGCAGTTATAAACGCCTTACTACACTGGTCCAGCATACTAAGGAACGCTCAACTGATGATCCATACGGACAACTCCACAGTGGCGTTTTACATCAACAAACAAGGGTCAACAAGATCAAGGAGCATGTTGGACTTCAGCTTTCAGCTATTCAGCATAGTAGACAACCTGAACATCGACATAAAAGCGTCACACATTCCCGGAGCCAGAAATGTGATAGCAGACGCCCTATCCCGTCCAATGAATCCATCATGGACGGAATGAATGTTACATCCAGAGGCATTCATGGACATCATTTGGACAGTAGGATCCCCACTGGTAGATTTGTTCGCAACCAAGTTCAACAAACAACTACCAACATTCGTCTCTCCGGTTCCAGATCCTCAGGCATGGGCAGCGGATGCTTATCTTGGGAAGGACTAAACGCTTATGCGTTCCCTCCACCAGCGTTAATACCGAAGGTATTACAGAAAATCAAAGTGACGAACAAGTTACAACTGATTTTTGTCGTGCCTTATTGGCCAGCGAGAGAGTGGTTCCCCAACCTCATACAAGAAATAGGAAATCCAATCCTACAACTTCCAAAGTGGCCAAATTTACTGATTCATCCACACACCAAGCAAGCACACAGAAACCCAACAATGTTTCAACTACACGCATGGAGCGTATCACGACTTGCTTGAAGAAAAGAGGATCCTCCACGAGCCTCCAATCCTTTTGAAGTCAGAGCACTGGCATCCACACTAACTCTGCACGGAAACCATCTCAACAATAATGGAGGGCTGCTTTTGGATATCGGAGACAGTGTTTGCCAACCACTACCTCAGAGACATGGCTACAGAGGACGCCTCCGGCATCCACCAGTTTGGGCCCTTGTTGTAGCACAACAATTGACGATACCTCAAAGACGCTGAGATTAATCTCACCCCTTTGTCACGTGACTTGTAAAAGCCAACACTCAACAGAGTTATGGTTTTAAAGTCCATGCGCACGTCTAGGACAGGCTAGCATGAGTGATGAACCCTGTACTTGTAAGGACTTACTTGTACACGAAGTAGGGTCACTTCTCCACTTGATGCAAGCATCAAGAGATGGAGTTGCATAAATCCACACAGAATGTCAGGAGAAGATTTCCAGGATAAATCTGACAAGTTGTGGTCCCCCACATTCATCAGAGGAAGCTGGAAGAAAGGACAAAATGCCATTAGAAGTTCCCAAGGGGGTATAAGGACATAAATCAGTAGAGAATCCAGAGTGGCTTGACCCACCACCGTTTCCGTCGGATTCTACAAGCAATTAAGCATGAGTCAGGATAAGGAAAAATATGTATTTTTCTGATTAAGATTGATATTTTATACTGATCCTGACTCATGAGGTTAGCCCTCCTAACCTCCCCTCATGGCACTCTGGATTTCCCTGCAAATCCAAGTGTCGGGCTCGAACATACGGAGAGAGTGACAAGCATGGCTGATCATGTGACCAACTTTTGGGGTCAAAAGATGGGGGAAAGGGAGATTACTGGGGTGAGTGATTTTACGTCCACTTTTTTTAAGGGAGCTTCAAAAGGGGATTCAAATGTTCCACTATAGTTCGCAAGAAGAAGAAGACAAGCAATTAAGCATGAGTCGGGATAAGTATAAAATATCAATTTTAATCAGAAAATTACATTTCTATTTGATTGACAAAAGAGCCCAACCTTGTTTGAAGATACATGGAGAAATACAGCCTTGTGTCTTCTCATTTTAAATACATCGAGTCAATAGTAGTGTAAAATGCTTAATAAATCAAAGATAAATGTTGTCTTGTGTGGATGTGATGAGAAACATTGAGTTTGTGTCATTCTCAGTGATGGAGGCCACCATGTCATGCATATTGTCATGATAAATGCAGCAATGTGATGTCATGTTCAGTGAGACTGGGATATAGTGGAAATGTGTATTACACTTGTGTTTTAACCATTATGCATTCTTTACAGGAACTGACGAGGACTGCTGGCTTGATCCGTCTAACCATGGCCGTGATGATGAGGTTCAAGACACAAAAACCGACCCCTTTTCTGAATCTATGGATGACAACACACAGCAGCCTGTTAAAGCAAACGGACAGGTAGATGGAAATATCAAACCTGGCCACATAACGCTGAATGAACTTTTGCGGCAAAGGAATGTGATTTCTGAACCAAGCCAGCACGATGGTTCCAATCAATCGTCCGGTGAGCTGAAGAACAATACTCCTGATATTGCTGGAACTGGGCCCCTGGAGTCTCCAGCAAGATCTGAGAGATGTGACAATGTAACTCTCAACATTGTTGCAAGTGACGGCAGGCCTATGGCATCTTCAACTCCATCTTTGTGTCAGCCACAAGGATGTGTTAATCTGTGTGGTGATCCCTCTCCGAAGGAAAAACTACCAGAACGCTTTAAAGACTTATCAATAAAACCTTGTAACCTTGACAATAATACCAGTGGTTTTGAAGGGAGGAGTGTAGATTTAGGGGAGTTCAATGGTTATGCAGATCCAAGTCGTAAGCAGCACATATTTTCGGAGAGTAGTGTGGACAGTTTTGAAAACAATGAACTGCAGCCTACAGCCATGCCCACGCCTTTTAGAAAATCGGCATCTATCCCAGAACAGGATGAACCTCATGCCATGATCAGCAAAGATAAAGGATCTGCCTCTGTGGTTGATTTTGTTCAAGGGTCACCCTCTCAACATGTTGAACAGACACTACCATATGAACATACACTACCATGTGAACAGAAAACTACATGTGAACAGACAGCACCAAGTGAACAGACACCAGCATGTGAACAGACAGCCCCAAGTCCCTGTAGACAAACTGAAGCATCATGGACAAATGTACCTTCAGATAACGACAGAATAGAATCTCAGACTCTTTTAAAATTTGCTTTAATGGCAGATCAGCCAAGAGAAGCCTCGGACGTGCAAGGATGTGACCATGAACAGTTCAACATGACCTCATCGGGACCCTTTGCCATGGCAAAGAAGACAAAAGATGATCATAGAAATCTTCTAAAACAAGATGCTGTAGATAAATCAGAATGGCATGCGGACACAGAAGAGAATCATCAAAACTACTCAGCACAAAAGACAGAATCAGTGATGGGAAGAACCAGCGGTGGAGAGGGACACTTGGAAGGGCATCAAGACCTTGCATCAGGGATGAGACACAACAGTTCCTACTTCGACTCTGATACTCCTGCAACAGTCCGACCTCCACCCGACCGCCATCTTTTTGGAGCATTCAATAGGACTAATGAAGAAAGAACTAACATCAGCTCAAGGAGATCGGACACAGGGGGAAAAGATGTGACTGACAAAGGTGCACAGAACGTTCAGAATTCTAGAACTGTTTATGTTCAGCCAATACAGTGCACTTCAGTCGGACTCCCACAGGGCTGCACCCCTTCTGACCAACAGAACATCCAGTATCCCAGCTTGGACCAATCAGCAAGGTCATATGTAGAACCAATTCAGTTGTTTCAAACAGCCCCAGGTGATGTTCTGGAGCAGCAGTTGCCCCATTACAGACTACCTTGCCCAGGGAGTGCTGTCACACTGAACTCTCAGCATTACCCCAGGAGTCATTTCCCACTGAATACTCAGTCCCACCCCATGCGAGGTGCGACATGGCACTCACAGCCTCAACCTAGAGGAGGTGGGCAGACACGTCCTGCATTAAGACATAATGTCCAGCAGCAATCATCTGCTCAAATCTTCAGTTCTTCAATGGCACAGCTTCCATTACTTGCCAGTGAGTATTCCCCTGATTCAACACAGAGCCAGCCAGTTCCAAGCTTCCCTAGCCACATTAGTACAGTGACACCATCCAGCAATCATCAGAACCCCCAGCATAGATGTACATCATCAGGGACTTCCAGCATACGGTTGCACCCACAGGGACCTCAAGGACCATGGGGAGTACAGATCAGACATGCTGCTTCCCAGCCTTTACAACAGCCAACTCAAAACTCAATTCCTAGCATTCATCTGATTGCTCAGCAACAGCAATACTACCAGCAACAACAGCAGTGGCAGCAGCAGCAACAATACTACCAGCAACAGCAGCAGTGGCAGCAGCAGCAACAATACTACCAGCAACAGCAGCAAGTGGCAGCGACTTATCAGCAGAACCTTCCCAGCTTCCGTTTTCAGAGAAATGAGCCAATAAGAACACCAATGATGTGTGCCATGCAACCAGAGAGTGCTGGATTCATCAGTCATGTCCATCAGCATTAACCCCTGTGTGTGTCCCAGGCATTAACCCCTGTGGGTGTCCCAGGTTAGAATGGGTTCCTGACACTATGGGTGGCCAGTGACCCGATTCATTGTGTGAAATGGTTATGAAACTATTAAACATTTTCTTAACCTTCCAGAGCAAAGTATGATGTTTGATCAACCAAATATGTTTTCATTCTCTTACTTGCTTGTTTTTATTTACAGGTTTATGTATACTGGCTTATTAGAGATGGCGCACAGATAAATGTCCTTACTTGAATCATCAATTACACAGTGTTTATATCTTCAGCAACTATTTCCCAAACTCAGATAGATGTAATGGAGATACTTACTTTAGATGTGGTCTATTGTGTCAAATTGCACCAAAAGTCAGAATCACTTTTCACTTGGCCTTGACCTCTGAGAGTAAGGCTCTCACAGGGTTCCTTTGAACTCCAGCGCTGGTTAGGTTCAGATGAACTCAAGTGCTGGTTAGGTTCAGATGAACTCAAACGCTGGTTAGGTTCAGATGAACTCAAGCACTGGTTAGGTTCAGATGAACTCAAGCGGTGGTTAGGTTCAGATGAACTCAAGCGCTGCTTAGGTTCAGATGAAGTCGAGCAGTTGACCAAGGTACATAACTCATACCTGTGTTTCTCTAACATGCATGGCATCCATGGAAAAGAAGCTGTACAGTGTCTTGAGGTAGAAAGAAAAATGACAAACAGTTGATGTTTTTGCATGTTCCTGTTAAAATCCAACAGTCCAGTTTAATGGAACTAAGGGTACTTGAGTACATCTTTTCTATTCATCAGATGCCTATCTGAAGGGTGTTTCCTCTAAAATGTTTGACCTATGAATCTTTCTCCACTAAATGATTTGATGTGTATATTTATTGTGTATAGTTATTTGGTATGGCTGCCATAATGGACAAGGTATTAGTGACTGCTTCCAGCTCAGTTGATTGCATCATTCAGTATATTGTAAATGAAGCTGTATCGCTTATTATTTCTAACAATGATAGCTCATGGACATAGATGAATGTTCTTGACTAGAAGAATGATGAATCAGGCTGTCAAATGTCTGTGATTTGAGGGTGATGTTCTGTGTACGTGTATGATACACAGTTCAGTCACTTCTGTTCCATCCACTTCCTGGCACGTCTTCCATCTTGCCTGGCTAAGCAATACTCAGATCAGTGCTCACTAGTGTTGACTTGTTCTGCTTGAGATTATCTATTTTATTGGGTATCCTTTATTTATGATTCAAAGTATTTATGTGTATGACACATATATATTATTACAGGCACTATTTATGACACTTTGTAACATCTCTGAAGAATTATCTCATGGAGATCACTTCAGTAATATTTATCCAAGTTTCTATGAATATGATAAACATGTGACCTTGGTATGATTATTTTGTACAGATGTGACATTTTACTTGCCAGTTGAGTGTGTTATTAGCTCATCAGAAAATGGCTGCCTTAAATCTCACTCAGACATGACCCTGTTATTATTCAACAGCTGTACATCTCAGTCCGAGGGGTTGTCTCCCTTATGTCAACCAACCAAATGAAATGTCAAGATGACTGATGTAAATAAACCTTACAGTTTGTCACATACACTATTGACTGTCGGGCTGGATATACTTTTGTCTGTTTGCCTTGTCAAGTACATTTTCTTTTCAAGACATTTAACGTTACCAGATATGTATGCATATTACTTCAGCATAATAACTCATTCGTAACCAACTTGTGTTATTCTGGGACAAGCCGAATATGTTATGGAAAGGGGCGAGTGGTGATGAATGATAACAACTGCGCTGTTAGGTTTTTATATTTACACCAGTATCTGTTTACCCTATGCTGTCTGACGGTCTGGAAGATCACCATTTTGGAAATCTTGGACCCAACATGAGATTAAGATTACGGCAGTTTGTTTATATGTGTTGTGATGTTTTGATGTATTGGGGATACATCAAGTCTTTATTGAGGATAATTAAGACCTATAGATTTGTCTATAGACATAATACCTGTGAAGGTCCGGGTTAGAATTGATCTTCAGTAAACCATGCTTGTTGTAAGAGGCTACTAATGGGGTCGAGTGGTCAGGCTCACTGACTTGGTTGACACATGTCATCCCAGTTGCGTAGATCGATGCTTATGCTGTTGATCACTGGATTGTCTGGTCCAGACTCGATTATTTACAGACCGCCATCATACAACTGGAATATTGCTGAGTGTGGCGTTAAACATCAACCAACCAAATTATAGGCGTAGGTGGTAATGCCTATTTAACTGGCAAACAAGGATAAGTTGGACCGGCACAGAGAACGCGTTTACGAGAAGTAGGCAGTGCACGGCAATGAGCAGACCCATTTGGTTTGTGAAAGGTAGAGCAGATGTAGGCTAGTGCATATGCATTGCATGACGATGAAATTGATTTTGTGCGTAGCTGCACACACCTTGCCCCTTGTTTCACTCATTGCACTGCACTTGATCGTGGACAACCTGGGGCCCCTTCGCTAACGATCGCATTCGCCAGTGGGCGGCACTCATACATGCTAATATGGGTCAATTATCAGGTCGGTGCTCAACTTATCCTTGTTTGCCAGTAGTGTGTTCAGGTGTTGGATGTGACTGCACCTTACTGATATTTAATCTACAATTTGTGATATGGTTTGACGTACTGCCTGTAAATGGCTATCATTCTGACTGTCAGTATTCACACGTATGTTTTGTTAACTACCACACATTTATCTGGTAGTCCTGTTTCTGTCGTATGTTTTCAAAATGATGATGTCATGATTTATGTTTTATATCATTTTACAGAGTGAAATGGGGATGAAATGGGTGGGGCAGGCATGAAACTGGGGATGATTGCATGGATGGGGGTGAGGGTGGGGGGGGGTGTCTGTCGGTTAGGATGATTCCATGGATAGGGATGGGGGTGAGGGTGGGGGTGTCTGTGGTTAGATGATTCCACGGATAGGGATGGGGGTGAGGGTGGGGGGTGTCTGTGAGATGGGATGATTGTATGGATCGGGGTGTCTGTCCCGGATGCGACTCAACCCAACAAAAGTACTAGAATCTGTGAGGTGAGGTGAAATTGGGTTTTACGTCGTGCTTGAGAATATTTCGCTCATATGACGACGTGAGTAGAATCTGTACTTTACAAACAATGTGTAATCCCAATATGTAATATAACATATGTGTGGTGCATAGAATAATAAGCTTTCAATGTACAGGTTTTCCCATGTCCCCTTAATTACTGTACATGCTTTGATGTGTGTTTTCATATATGTTTTCGTATCATTGTTTTCATAAGTGGCTTCCAGTCATCCTATCATTGTTTTCATAAGTGGCTTCCAATCAATCCTATCATGTATAACCAATCCTTTTCATTGTATAAACATTCTATACATCCATTGCATAAACATACCACTTAATCTCTGTATCTCAATCAAAACACATCACTTTATCTCTGTACATCTCAATCGGTAATACTATCTCACTGGCTTCCTGTACACACTATATTTTGCTCGTACCATATTCTGTCATTCACCTGATGAAGGGGTAAGAAGCAGCCCAGAAACGTTGTGCTGTAAATATTAAAGAAGTTGTACATCCATACCATACCTTGTTATGTTATCCTTACTGTTTATTGTTATTATTATAGGATATTTATATAGCACACATATCCAGGCAACTAGTGCATGCTCAAGGCACTGGTATTTTCCCCTCGATCATTGGATGTTAATCTCAACGGCACATCGTATTATCAATCTCAACTCCCTGGGGATCATACAGCTCTTGCAGCCACTGGGCGCCACTGGAGTTATTGTGGCTTTCTCATCCTAACGAGGTTCTTACTTCTTCATCAGGTGACATCCATAAAAAGTCTCTTCCTTCTGTGTATCACATCTCAATGCCATTCAAAGACCTGCAAGTCAGGGGTTATTTCAGCAGCTTAATGTTTGTTGTTACGTCAGCATTATTGTTGAACAGCGCACCACACATTAAGCTGATGTGCTGTCCAAGAACTTATGTGTGTGACAAGTTTTCTCATTTGAGACTATCTCACTGGGCTATCTCACGACCATATTGTTAGCTTCACAAGGCTTATGTCTGTAGGTTATTTTGAAGGCTTTCTCTTCCCTGAGTTTGTAGTATTATTAAAATGCATGATGTACATGCATGAAGAACAAAAACCGAAATAAAAACTTCTTTTCATGCATCAGTCAGTTTTCTTATACCATGACACAAAGAACAATACATGTATGCCATGACACAAAGAACACGTCATGTATGCCATGACTCAAAGAACACGTCATGTATGCCATGACACAAAGAACACGTCATGTATGCCATGACACACAGAACACCACATGTATGCCATGACACAAAAACACCTCATGTGTGCCATGACACAAAGAACACCACATGTATGCCATGACACAAAAACACCACATGCATGCCATGACACAAAGAACAATACATGTATGCCATGACACAACACGTCATGTATGCCATGACTCAAAGAACACCACATGTATGCCATGACACAAAGAACACGTCATGTATGCCATGACTCAAAGAACACGTCATGTATGCCATGACACAAAGAACACCACATGTATGCCATGACACAAAGAACAATACATGTATGCCATGACACAAAGAACACGTCATGTATGCCATGACACAAAGAACACGTCATGTATGCCATGACACAAAGAACAATACATGTATGCCATGACACAAAACATGACAAAGAACAACACATGTATGCCATGACACAAAGAACACCACATGTATTCCATGACACAAAGAACACCACATGTATGCCATGACACAAAGAACAATACATGTATGCCATGACACAAAGAACACCACATGTATTCCATGACACAAAGAACATGTCATGTATGCCATGACTCAAAGAACACCACATGTATGCGATGACACAAAGAACACGTCGTGTATGCCATGACTCAAAGAACAATACATGTATGCCATGACACAAAGAACACCACATGTATGCCATGACACAAAGAACACCACATGTATGCCATGACACAAAGAACACCACATGTATGCCTTGACACAAAGAACACCACATGTATGCCATGACACAAATAACACTACATGTATACCATGACACAAAGAACACCACATGTATGCCATGACACAAAGAATACCACACGTATGCCATGACACAAAGAACACGTCATGTATACTATGACACAAAGAACATGTCATGTATACTATGACAGAAAGAACATGTCATGTATGCCATGACACAAAGAACACCACATGTATGCCATGACACAAAGAACAATACATGTATGCCATGACACAAAGAACACCACATGTATGCCATGACACAAAGAACACGTCATGTATGCCATGACTCAAAGAACACCACATGTATGCCATGACACAAAGAACACGTCATGTATGCCATGACTCAAAGAACAATACATGTATGCCATGACACACAGAACACCACATGTATGCCATGACACAAAAAACACCACATGTATGCCATGACACAAAAAACACCTCATGTGTGCCATGACACAAGGAACACCTCACGTATGCCATGACACAAAGAACACCACATGTATGCCATAACACAAAGAACACCACATGTATGCCATGACACAAAGAACAATACATGTATGCCATGACACAAAGAACACATGTATCCCATGACACAAAGAACACCTCATGTATGCCATGACACAAAGAACACCACATGTATGCCATGACACAAAGAACACAACATGTATGCCATGTCACAAAGAACACGTCATGTATACTATGACACAAAGAACATGTCATGTATGCCATGACACAAAGAACACCACATGTATGCCATGACACAAAGAACACCACATGTATTCCATGACACAAAGAACACCACATGTATGCCATGACACAAAGAACACCACATGTATTCCATGACACTTAGAACACCACATGTATGCCATGACACGACAAAAGAACATGTCATGTATGCCATGACACAAAGAACATGTCATGTATGCCATGACACAAAGAACACCACATGTATGCCATGACACAAAGAATACCACACGTATGCTATGACACAAAGAACACGTCATGTATGCCATGACACAACACCACATGTATACCATGACACAAAGAACACCACATGTATTCCATGACACAAAGAATACCACACGTATGCTATGACACATGCCATTTACATGTAATTCCGTATAATTAATCATCTACTGTTTTTTATGTTTAGAGTCACTCTATTCTTGCTATATGTGAAAGAAATCGAGTTTGGAGCAGACAATACAGTGATTCACACCACGAAAATCGATGTTCGCTTTTTGAACTGACATGCATCAACCTGGTCGGCGAGCCCGTTAGCTGAAAGTGATTACATGTAACTTGATGGTAGTCAATTGTGTTGGGGGTTTTCAATTGCCGCTGGAAGAATCGACAGTCACTTATGCAGAGACCAGTTGATATCCACCGCATGCATATCATAAGGCAAATTGTGACTTAAAGGATCGCCGAGTGAGACTTTGCGAAGATCGATGCTCATGATCGATGACCAAGCACTGGATTGTACGGTCCAGACTTGATTACTAACGGACCACCCTCATATACATGTAGATGAAATATTGCCGTGTTTGCCCGTTGACATTCCTACATGCAGTCTTGCATAAAAAAACTAGAACGGCAGGCATAGAAGACGACATTGTGGCTGTTGGTAGGCCGAGTAGTGACAACTCCAGTTGAAGACGCCCGTGAATACATGGTTACTGTTTTCAGGCATCTGCTGCTGGAGTGGTCACAACAGTATCAACTGCAGCTATTCCCCAGGACGCTACAGTGCTGTAACATTAAGAGTTTATTTTCAGTCCTGGCAGATGTTCCATTTTCTAGGGAAATGCCCTTGTCCAAATATTATTTGTGTCGAATGTAGGTGATGAGTTTGCAATCTAAACCCTCAAACAGACCTTAAACAATCAAAACCTAAACCGCAACAGGTTTTCCTATCAAAATTACTACTGAAGTTGATACCTTGAAAATATCGGAAAAAATATAATAATTTTTGTGGCAAGCTGTCGTGAGGACATGTTCACA